AAGTGTCCTGAGATAACTTGTGTTATGAACTGGTACTAAAAAAAAAAACTGAATTTAATTTAATTTAATTTAATTGAGATAGCAACTGTATCAGAATATGTAAGTAATGAGCGCATGGAACAAATCAGTGATTGATAAGATAAAAAACTGAGATAATTGTTTTTTGGAGCCAAAGAAGAACGATCGAGGGTCAGCACTCAACTTGAATATTAAAGATTCTTTTTTAGTATTCCCTTACCCTACTGGTTATCAAAAAAGTCATCACATTACTGTAATGCGCTACTAAAGCTCCTTTCCCCCACATGGTATGGCTTATCTCAACTCTACTTGCTTTTATGCTGTCTCTGTCTTTCTCTCTTTACCCCACGCCTTCCTCCCTCCTCTACCCCTCGCTATCCCCCTCTCCCCCTCCCTCTTTAACCCCAACCAGTTGAGACAGTCCCCCACCTAGAGCCGGGGTCTGCTCAAGGCTTCTGCCTCTTAAAAGGTGTAAACAGGAAAGAGGCGGTGTGAACCCCAACCCGACATGTATTGCGAATGTGCTATATACATTTCCAAAGAATGCTCCAATAACCTGAATAATATCAGCATATCCCACATGTCTTAATCAGGAAATGCTGCATTAAGGCCTAATTAGGAATATCCAAATGGAATATGCTGTTTACATAAAATGCGGAATATTCTCATACTTTGGAAAATTTGTTTAGTTGTCAATATGGCAGCAATTAGTGTATAGTGTAGGTTACAGTCAGTGAATAAAGACTGCAGCTTCTCAATACCAAAGTAAAGCTAGTAGTAGTAGAGGTACCAAAAGTACCTGACACTGTGGCCTAGTGAACTGTACAGACCTTTTAACCTCTAGCTATCTGGCTGGCCTCTGTTTCTCATTTCTAGAGCTCAGATTGTTGAAGGACTAAACCAGCAATCCTCCATCCCTCCTCAAGCTCTCCTTCTTAAGAACGCTTCTTCATCAACTGGTGGAGAAGTAAACCCCAGCAGACATGTGCTCCATGCTCCTGTCCCCTGCCGTCCTCAACCAATCACAAGCAGCCCTGTCACTCTCCCATGGCCCTTATCTGAGTCCACTGACTGGGTTACTGCAGCTGCTGCAGGGTCGAGCCTAGTGGTGCAACCTTCTCCCAAACCAAACCTGCCACGCTTTCCTAACCTGATCCTAACTGCCCAACATGGCAGCCCTAGAAGGCAGAGTTTCGGATCTCTCTGGCACAAGCAGAGTACCCCTAGGGCCCCTGCCGTAGAGCCAACTGTGTTGTTCAGGTTGAGGAGTCTGTCAGAGCATGTGGAGAGTAAAACTAAGCCTCAGGAGAAAAAGGAGATCCTACCATCCAAGCCTGAGAGGATCTCTGGAGAAGGGCTCAGAGAGGTGTGTGAGGGGCCTCTGGATCTGTCAGATCGAGGAAAGTCCAAATCCAGCGAAACACCAAGAGAGTATTCGCCCTCAGTCATACTAGGTGTAGAGCAAGTACAGAGCAGCCCTGACAAGGATGTGAAGACAAATCCGTCGACACACACACCAGTATCATCACCACATTGCGCCATCCCTCCTTCATCCTCCTCAACACTGCCAGTCAAACAACAAGAGGAAGAGCCTACCAGTGACCATAACCACAAGGTAATTTTTTTGCTTTTAGCACCAAAATTAAAAAGCAAAGGCATGGGAGTGATGGTAATGAAGGGACAAACATGATTCATGGCATGATGGTCTTGTCACTACAGGTAACCAAAGAGCAGGAGAAGAAAGAGGAGGTGAATGGAAAGACAGACCAAAGCAATGAGAAGAAGGTGCCTGTCCTCACTATATCTTTACGTCCAGGTAAGCGACTTAGATTCATGTGTCTGTGTGTGCTGGCGTGTATTTACTGTGACCAAGTGATTAATCAACTTGTGTCATGTTTCTGTAGTAGTAGTGCTGGAGACTCTGAACTCTGCCCTGCAAAAGCAAGAATCTTTATCATCAAATGGCAAGGTAAGGCAATTCAAGCCACCAAAGTAGATACAGTTAGACTGTGCAAAGATATGTTTGCTTATTCAGTTTTGCCATTTTTAAAGGAAAATATTAGCTAGGTAAAAGTTTCCTCTGCCCTATAGCAGTCATCATCACCAGTTGAGACAGTAAGCAGTTGCGAAGATCAGGACGAGGAGGAGAGTGTGTCAGGACAAGAAAGCAACCAGAGCTGCAAGAGGAAGAGGGCATCTGTGGAGACAGAAACCGACAGAGAATCGGATTCAGACAGTAGGCATTACTTCACATTTCTAGTCCTTGGGTGTTTTTCTTCCCTTCTTCCATTCTTTCTTTCCCTCCAGAGTGTGGTCTTCAAATCAAATCACGTACCAACCACGGTTCTGTGAACACTCAGGGATGGTTCAACACTTCGGCTTTCTTGCAAAGAATTTCGATGGGAAGACGGATACTTTTAACATTGCGAGCATTGAAATCCATTTGAACGTCTAAAGCTCACTAATTATAACACATTATGTCTTGTTTGTTCAATTCATATAAGAATCAAAGTTTATGGGGTGCTCTGTACTGGACATGCCTGCACGTAGCCACGTTTTTTTTACTGGTAACGAAGTTAGGCTGGTAACAATATAACTAATAAGCCAAAATGTGAATGCATGTAAATCTGATGAATGCTGAATTACTTTATCTCAACTCTGCATGTAGTCTGACGTTAACCCAGGTCTTTTAAATGTACCAGGTCTTGGAAATTACTTCTACTCAACTGATCTGGTCTCAATTAACGTCCCTCTAACTAATTCCTTCTGTTCAGTCTTCATTTATGCTTTACACAAGTAACATGTTCATTTCCTGGGCAATGTTTATGCCTCACCTGAAGGAACTGTTTGGAACAATTTCTGTTTTTTTTCCCTTCACAGACATCAAGCAGGGGAGGAAGAGCAAGATCACAGTGAGAAATGAGGAGAAGAGCCCTAGCTAAAGAGTTAGATATCACATTGACTTGGTGATCTCTCTGCATGACCTGATTGTTTTGGCCACTTGGGGGCAGTGCAACAAGCTGTTAACGCAACAATGACATATATCATCACTTTATAAAGTTGTTCCGGCCAACAGTGGAGTATTTACACATCCAGCAGACACGGAGCAACCTTAGCATTAATTTGGTGTTGTGTCTCTGGCCACCTGATGAATGTGGGTCAAATATTCACTCCGCTTTAGCTCTGTTTTGTAGTATCTGTCTCTTTAGTAGCTACATGCTCCACTATGTTCACCTTTTGTTGAAAACAGCTGACTGCTGTCACTGAAAATGAAACTGATAAACACATTGGTGAACCTTAAAGTTGCATCCCGTAAAATAGAGGATGCTAAAAAGCTCAGTAGAGCTGAGGGGAAGTGCAGTCAGGTGATAAATATCTGTTTGTCTCTTCAAGCAACTCCTTTCACATACAAGTAGTATTGTGATCCATAGTCCGTGGTGTAGTGGTTCCTGGAGAAATGGGTAAACTCATATAGTTCATGCGCCAATTGTGTTTTAAAAACATAAAGAGACATCTGACACTGACAATACAGCTTAAAATGAGACTATAAGAATTAAAGTGCTAAAGTGCTCTTATATTGGTTGCAAATTGCTCTATTGCAATAAAATGAAGTATTGCAGCTTGATGGAGATTTAGAAGTGGATATACCCCATGCTGACCTAAAAATAAGTAGGTATACTCAGTGTATACCTGTGTATACCCTGCACTACACCACTGTCTATAATTAATATAGAATCATTGATCAGGGCAGTTTTTATTTCATTCACTTAATATGTACATAAAATGATGAAACCTACCACAAAATGAAGACCATATCATCATATCATATTGATCATATTTGACAGGACATTTGAAAAAAACACAATTTTTATTATTTTACCTTAAAGCTGTCTGATACAACAGATGCACATTTAGTCTTCTCAGGATTTTAAAAAACATTTTTAAAAATAGCCCTAAACGTACTAAATTGCTCCTTTTGGCCACTTGGGACATGGACATATTATTGTCTCATAAAGTTGAATGGCTCATTTTAAGGTGATGAAAACACGATTCTTATTTTCAGGTGATTATACACTAATGAAAACATACCTATGAATATTATAGTATATTTCTGACAAT